GATTAGTCCCCTCGGAATTTGTCGCACGTTGTTCACATGTCTTTGTCCCGTCTTCTTCTACCGACTGACGAGCTTGCAAAAGATAAGTCTCCCGGCATCTGGATCCGCTCAAAACTCCGACGGAACCGACGAGGCAACGGCGATTGGCAAATGCGAGTTACCACTTGTAAATACAGATAGTATGGACGACCCTATGCGTCATTCGGCTAATGACTCTCAGTTATCGGCCGCCTCAGGTATCGTCAGATCAGACACGGTCGAATGGCCCAGCACCTCCTCGCATCTCAAACCAAGGACCTTGCAACCCCTCGCTTCGAAAAAACAGCATCACGACATTGGTCGTGTTTCGAAAACTTCATGGACGTAGGAAATCCGGCGAGCTCGCAACACCCGCCTCCGACGCACCGATGATGTTTCGGAAATGCGGGCGATGTTGCAATCCGGCAAGCTCATGGAACCGATGCGTCCGCAACACCCTTCAACTTGCAACAATGGCGTTGTTTGCTACTCCAGGTCGAGCTCACACCGGCGGAGCTCCGACAAACTCCATTGTAACACCTAAGCGTAAGCCACATTGCAACGTTGATGGTTCACCACTGCATCGACGTCCGTCTCCCGCAACACTCGTGCTTCTTGTTGGTGTTGCAACACCGAAGGCGAGCGTGGCCGGCCTTCGGCTTTACAACAGCAGGGAGTGGTGGCAGCAGAGCCCTTGCAACGCAGTGGTTGGAGGCGGGTGCAGTAGCCAACCACGGTGATGCGTGCGGCGGGTGAGAAAACTAAGAAAAAAATTCATGGGAAAGAAGAAGCTTTAGAAATACAACATGCAGATAAGTTTTGTTTGGAGACTGCATGGATAAAGTTTGACAAGTGACTTGACACATGCGTCGCTCCGTGTGTGTGTGTGGAGGGGGGGGGGGCGATAACCTAGCCGTCGCAACCCCCGCTCCCCTCTCCTCCCTCGCTCCTCCCGTTGCCGTCAGAGGATGCCGATGGGCAAAGCCCGCTAGGTGAACGGCGGCGGCCGGGGGCCCTCGTCGTGCGCCGCATGGCTTTGGGCCCCGGTCGAAGGCCTGCATCTGGCGGCGGTCGTGTCTCGTCGGCGCGAGCAAGTCGAGGCGGCGGCCCCGGGTAGTGGTGGCGCTGCTCATCCCTTTCTTCGGCTGGATGGCATGCAGGGCGGCGCTAAGGTTGGTCGTCGTCGATCTGGCGCCCCACGCCTAGATCTGGCGGTGGAGGCGCTCCGGCGTGCTGCGGTGGCGATGCTCCGTGGGTTGCGGTTGTAGGGCGCACTGGGTGCCTGGGGCCCCTCCCTCGGCGGGGGAGCTGCGGTGATGGCGGCGCGGCGGCATCGCGACGG